CGAGCCCTCAGGGCGCCTCACGGACCGCAGTGATGGAGCATTTCACAGCAGTGATGGAGCATTTCACGGCAGCGATGGAGCATTTCACAGCAGCGATGGAGCATTTCACGGGACATTTACTCCTGCATTTCCCCAGCCCGTGTGGGGCTGCAGAGGGACCCTGGCCTCCCACTCACGCAGTTCCTGCACCCCTTGCTCTGGTGAGGGGGTGTCTGGGGGTGAAAGGGGTCAGCCAGGACACACAGACTTGCATTGGGCCAGATCTGACCCAGCACTTGGCTCTGAATACAAGCAGCACCAGTGCTGCCCCAGGGCATGAGGACAATGAGGAGGCCACCAGGACAAGCACCAGGAGGATGAGGACAGCACTGGGGACATGGTGTTAACCTCACCAGGCAGGGCTCCCACCCTACTATTCCCATCACCTCCTCCACCTTCAGCAAATGTCTCCCAGGTACTGCTCCTGCAGCTCAGGCATGTCCCAGCTCACAAAGACCCCAAGCCCTACTTGTCCCTGCTGCCCATCAGCAACACCACCAGTCCCATCTCCTCCCCCAAAAGTTGGAGCAGCACATCAGGGAGCAGAGCATCCTCCCGGGGTACCAGGCTTTGGCAGGTCACACCCTCTGCTCCAGGCAGGCCATTCCCAGCAGGGAAGGTGCTGCCAGCATGGCTGTGGATCAGGGCTGGATGCACACAAGCACTTTCTCCGGGGTGCACCAGTGTGGTGGGAGCCACTGCTCTGGGGCTGTCACAGGCTGTCCCCTCCCTCCCCAGGGCTGTTTAACCAGAGCTGTGCATGTGTTTGTGGGTCTGTGGGTGTGTGTGGGTGTGTTTGAGTGTGTGGGTATGTGTGGGTGTGTGTGTGGGTGTGTGTGTGCACCAGCCAAGGTGCTGCTGGCTGTAAGGATTACAGATCTGCAAGAAGCAGCAGCCTCAGCAATCCCATGTCAGTGGTTTGGGGGACAAAGTGGGGGGTTTGTGTGCTCCACACCCCATACATTGGGGACAAGGGGAAGGGTGGGAGCTGGCACCACAAAGACTCAACAAAGAAGCTCCAGATGAGGCCCTTAAGGCTGATCCCCATTTTCCTGCCCCTTTTCCTCCATTTCAATGGGCTCCCTGCTCAGGGCAGACCCGGGCCCTCCCAGCATCAGGGCCACTGCATCAGCCACTTCCGTCCTTTGTGCTGACCCTAATCACAAACACAGCAGCTGAACGGGCAGCCAGGAAGGCAACGTGGATGTGGGGTCCAGCTCTGACCCACACACGCCCATGGGGTGGCCATAGAGGGAAATGGGGGAGCCTGTTGTGTCAGAACCATGTCCCACCAGGGCACCCTCTGCTCCCCACACCATCTGTGACTCCCCCACGTGCTGTAACACAAAGCAGGGATAGCCCAGCAAACCCTGCCTGGCTATGGCTGGAGGGATCAGGATTTTGGGACAAAGGGATGTGAGCTGGTGGGCTCTGGGATGCTGCTCTGGACACCTGGTACCACAACCCAGAACCCCAGAGGCAGATCCTGCGTGGGACTTGGAAGAATGTGCCCGACTCTGGGAAAGGGGACACTGGGAACTGAGGAGGAGGAATAAATGAGTGCAGAAAAGGACTTGCACACTGTGAAGGGGGGAAAGCCTGGACCAGTGGCAGTCATGGGGAGAATGATAACAGCTCAGGCTGGATGCCCAGGTGAAATGGAGGGTCAGGGCAGCACAAGAGGCCTCTCCACCTCATTGTGAGCGGCTGAAGGAGCAGGGTGGGCAAGGGGCCTGTGGGGTGGCTGCAGGGAAAAGTTTCAAAAGAAAAAAAATCAAAAACACAGCCCAGTAACAACAGCAAAACCACTTGTGTGCTTTATCCTCTCCAAAGAGAACTCTGTGTGCAGGGGCTCGCTGTGAGGATTTGGGGTGCTCAGGGAGGTTCACCAGGCTCGGGGCAGCAGCTCCTGCAGCTCTGGCAGGGCTGGGCCCCTCTGTGGGAGAGGAGCCACAGCCCAAGGGGCTTCCTGCCCCCCGGGCACACGATGGAGGGAGCCAGGCCCTTCCCTGCCCCCCCCCGGGCACAGGATGGAGGGAGCCAGGCCCTTCCCTGTCCCCCAGGCACAGGATGGAGGGAGCCAGGCCCTTCCCTGCCCCCAGGCACAGGATGGAGGGAGCCAGGCGCTCAGGAACTGGCCAGCCCCTTTCATTGCCCCGGAGCAGATGGGCACAGGGCAGTGCCAGGGGGCTCCAGGGGCACCTCCCTGGCTCTGCTTTGGGGCAGCTCCTGGGGACCTGTCCCTTCAGGCCAGGGGCTCTCAGTGCTGTGCCAGATCCCATAGCCAAAGTAAATGAGGAAACCTGGGAAAGGGCACAATAGGGTGTGAATGGGCTGCTTCTCTTCCTTCCCCTCCCAGCCACCGAGTGCTGGCCCCCTCCTTTGGGCCACATTTCAGAGGACACGGTGCTCCCACCACTGCTGGACATCAAGGGTCAGCATCTCCTCCCTCCCCACCACTGCTCAGAGCAACATTGGTGCCTCAAACCACCAGCCCTCCCCCCAGAGTGGCTGGAGGCAGCTCCGGGGCCTCGGGAGGGGCCGTGCTCACCCGCAGCCATCCAGAGCAGGTACCGCAGCCAGGGGGCCGCGCTGAGCCGGGCCAGCAGCACCGCGTTGGTGGAGATGCTGACGAGAGGCAGGAAGGGCAGGCAGGGAACCTGCAGGGTAAATTCCACGGCTAAATGCAGCTCTTTGTTGCTCTGGCTGGTTGTCCACAGGCAAAGGGAAGCCCAGCCTGGCTGTGAGGCTCAGACATCCGAGCTGGGACTGCAGCCTGTGCTGGAGAGGGATGCTTGGGAGGGTGTTTTGCTTGTCAGGTCCTGCACTGCAGGATTTGAGATGAGAGGCTTGTGAAAGTAAGCCAAGGTGTTAGGGCCAGGTATCTTTTTACTGAAGAGCAGCTCTGGATTCCTCAGCAGGCACTGGGCTCAGCTGGGAGATGCCCCTTCCGCCCATGGGGTGGAAGAGTCCTCATGGTCCCTATGGAAAACCCCATGAGCCACAGGCTTCCTCCAGCAGTGCCTCATTAATGTGGATGCAGCAAAGATGTGCCTGACCTGCAGCTGAGGGAACAGCCCCAAATGGCCCTTTTCCCCACAGGGCTGCAGCACCTGCCTGTTCTCTGTGCCCCAGGTCCCTGTTCCTGGGTACACCCTGAGGGTTGGGCTGGGTGCTCACCATGAAGGACGCCTTGTCCTGGCTCTGAGGCTGCCTCCAGATGAGAAGAGCTGCTGCCAGGATCCCCAGGAGAGGCAGGGCCAGAGCAGAGATGCACCAGGCACCCCCAGCCCGCAGGCAGGGCAGCCCAGCAGTGCTCACCCAGCCCAGGGCACAGGCCAGGGCAGCTGCAGAGGGACCACAGTGTCAGGGCAGCTCCCCTGGGCTGTGCCATCCCTCTGTCAGGCTGCTATGGGGGACAAATGACAACCAGGGGACACGGCTGGGTGGCTTCTCATGGTGGGTTTGACTTTTCTCTCCCTCTGGGAGGTTTCCTGAGGTCCCACTGGGGCAGTGGGATGAGGGCAGGAAGGAGCCATGCAGCCCCTGCATCTGCTGCTGGGTGGTTTCCACCAGGCCAGCCCTTGCTACAGCAGGGATGTCCCCCCTGGGTCCCCCCAGGCAACTCCCTTAGAGCCCATCCACCATCCCAGACACACCTGCAGCTGTCAGAGCCCAGACCACCAGGGCAGAGGAGCGAGGGGTGGGATGGGGGGGTGGCTGCACCAGGTGGTTCCACCATGGCTGCACAGCTGGGACCTTCCCCACAGGAGTGTCCCAAGGGCCGGGCTCAGGCCGGTACCTGAGGAGCAGACACTGGGTGTCAGTGCACACAAACCTGCACCTGCCCTGTCCCAGAAGCTGGCTGAGCCCTGTCCCCTGTCCCAGCAGTCTCACCTGAGCAGCAGCACACAGGCAGCCACCATGGAGTAGGCCAGCAGTGTGCCAATGGACATGGTGTCAACCAGGGCTTTCAGGTCAAAGAGAAGGGCCAGGAGAGCTGGGGAGAAGAGAAGCCCTTATAGCCTCTGAGCAGAGCTGGCAGTGCTGCTGTGCCCACCTCAGTTCATACTCTCACTGCAACAGAACTTCAGTGGACTGGTGATGCTTTGGTCACTAGCACAAAGCATCCTGTCACCTCCTGCCTGGCAGTGCAGAGAGGCTGGGACTCTATCAAGGCCAAATGGTCCTCACCCACCATAAGATCTGTCTCTGGGTGAAAAGACAAGGCTCAAACAGCTGCAGGCAAGCTAGAGGGAAGGAGGACACCCACCAAGGCCTGCTCACAGCTGAGGGTGACCCAAGCACTCACCTACCTGCCACTGCCCCCGACACCAGAGTTGCCACCACCGGGCACTGATGGCGACTGACTTTGGCCAGAGGCTGGAAGAGGAGCCCATCCCGAGCCATCGCATACAGGATCCTTGGCATGGGGAACATGGAGCCCAGAAGGCTGCATGAGACAGGGGAGGAGATGGGGGAGAAGAGGAGAGGAATGCAGGAGGTGCCATCCTGCCTTTTTCCCCTCCAAGGGAGCTCCCATTCATCTGTTTGGTCCATAACCTTCTCAAGACCATCTAACAACATCATCACCTTCCTCACCATCAGATGAGGGACAGTGTCAGGGAAGAGATGTCTGCAATCACCTGTGCATGCCAGAACACCCCAGCCCACTCCTGTGGACATGGTGCCACCTGGCCATTTCCTTCAGTGGCCAAGGGCTTTGGCTGCTCTCCCTGATCAGGAAGGGCCAGGGTGGGAACATCCTTGTGTGGAAGGGATTTTAATCAAGCAGGAAAGGCAAGGAGGAATTCAGGAGGGAGGGGTTGGGGATAATATCTCCTGGATGTGTTCAGCTCCAGTAGCTGCTCTGAAGCACAGAAATGCCATCAGAGGGTGCCCCTCACCTGGTGGTCAGGGCACACAGTGACCCCACAGCCACAGCATACTTGGCACTGCTCCAGCCAATGTACTCAAAGGCCACTGGCAGAGGGCTCGTGGTGTCCAGGAGGTAGTAGGGCATCATCAGGGTGAGGGCAGCAGATACCCCAAAGTAGGCCAGGAAGCAGATGAGAAGGGAGAGAATGATGCCCATGGGGATGGATCTCTGCGGGTCCCTCACTTCTTCCCCTGGGGAGAACAAGATCAGCTGTAGGAACAGAGGCTCATTTAATGTGCATGGCAGGCTAAGAGCCCAGCACAGGCTGGAGAGAAGATCCCATATCCTCCCAAGAGAGGACACAGAGACCTTCTAGCAAGGACCACTGGATGTTCTGGGCCCCAGGGATATTGGGATAGAGAATGTCTCTGCTCTAGGATTAGCCCAGACATTCCACGAGGACTCTTAGAAAGGGCAGGAGAGGGTGGCTGCAGCACAGAGCTGGGAATGTGCCCAATTCCCAGCCTCACACCAGTTCCCAGCACTGTGGGGACAGTCACTGCCAGCCCAGCCTGCAGGGAGGGTCCCACCAGCAGCACCCCCACCCCAGTTACCTGTGGTAGCAATGCAGTCAAATCCAACAAAGGCATAGAAACAGGCAGAGGCTCCAGCCAAGGTGCCAGTGAAGCCATAGGGCATGAAGCCTCCCACCCCAAAGGCACTGGTCCTGTTGTCAGCCATGGACTGGTTCCTGGGGAGGAGGAAGAAGAGCCAGGCAGTGCAGGGGGGTCAGTGCAAAGGGGTCCCAGGATGGGGTCAAGCTGAACATCCAGCCCCCTCAACCCACAGCATCAACCCAGCAGGGCTTAGGATTTTGTCTCTTTGACACATTGCCAACAGGAAGAAACAGAGAAAGTGGTGTCTCCTGGGATAAAGTGGTGTCCCCTGGGATAAAGTGGTGTCTCCTGGCATAAAGCACTGGGGGTCTGACTCCCCACCCCACTCTGAAGGCAGCAGAGGGAGAGTGAAGCCCCTCATACCCAGCCTCGTGGGCAGCTGCCTGTGGCAGGTCATCCTCCCTGAGCCTCCAGTTGCTCATGTGGCCTTTGATGAAGCCACTCACTGTGACAAAGAGCAGGACGAGCACGTTGAGAGCTGTGAAGGCTTTGTTGACCATGGTGGACTCCTTCACTCCAAAGGAAAGAAGCGCTGGAGAATAAAAAAATCAAAACTGGATGAGGTCCTGGATGACACCAGGGTAGACATTCCTGGGGAGGGAAAAGGGGGGCAGTGGTAAATTCAGGACATCTTGCAGATTTCCCCAGATTCCCTTTCCATTCCCCATTCTTTGCTCAGGGAAATGGCAAATCCTCACAGGGGTCAGCCCCATCCTGAAGAGCCCACAGTGAGGTGAGGAGCTCATCCTACCTGATGGAGGGTGGCACAGGGGGAAGCATCCTACCTGCCAGCAGGACCACCAGGCCAGCAGCAAAGGCATCTGGGTGCTCTGCCAGCCCCACAGAGCTCATGGCTGCGTGAGCACCCAAAAACCTCCCCATCCTCTTGCCCAGGAGCTGGTCAAAGGTAGCACTCCAGGCCCGGGCAACGCTGGCAGTACCTGGGGAGAAGGGGATGGCTGTGTGATGAGGTGATGGCTCAAAAGACACCCAGCAAAGCCACCAACACATGGTGGGAGGGATCAAGAGGGCCTTGTACCGATGACATAGGACAGCAGCAGGTTCCATCCGGCCAGGAAGGCGCAGAGCTCCCCCACTGTCACGTAGCTGTACAGGTAGGCAGAGCCAGCCAGGGGCACACGCGCCCCCAGCTCGGCGTAGCACAGCCCTGCCAGGGCAGACACCACGGCTGCAATCAGGAAAGAGAGCACGATGCTCGGGCCAGAGCTGGTTTTGGCCACCTCCCCTGCCAGGACGTAGACCCCAGCCCCCAGCGTGCTGCCCACCCCCAGGGCAGCCAGGTCCAGGGGCGAGAGGCAGCGGCGCAGGCTGGAGTCCCCCGGGCCGGCCGGGACTCGCTTCCTGCGGGACAGCAGCCGGGGAACGGAGCGCAGCCGGCTCCAGCACGGCACCTGCAGGACGGCAGAGCAGCAGCGGTGAGGGCACTGTGTGCTGCCCCACTGCTGCCCCACTGTTCTGCAGAAATAAACAAAACTCCACAACTTTTGTGAAAGTTGTAAAGCTGGAATGTTTATTACAGCGCAGGACACATGTGGGAATCATTCGCCTAAAATGACATGCGTACCTCTGGGAACTTCAGGTCCCTTTTTATCCCCCTCTCAAATCTATATGCATACAATTTCACAATATGTTCATACAGATTCATTTTTACGAATTTCGCGTGACATTTGCAGCTGGTTCTTCTTTATCAGAAAGAATTCCTAGGTCAGGTTGACCTGCTGTCACAGCAGCCTCTGTCTCTCTCTATCACCTTCTGTCTCCCCCCCTTCATCTCTGTCTTTCACTGAAGCAGTGTCTCTGAGCCCAGGCTTTTGCAGTCAGACTACACTGCAAGCTACATGCTTAAAGATGTACATTCCACCTAAATCAAAAAGGATTTCTACCCTGGAAAATTTCTACTCTGCCTCACCCACTGACCACCCTGATGTGACAGAAACCCAGCCTCAGTGGTGGCCTTGCAGCTCCCACCATCCCCAGTGCTCCTGGACTCGCTGGGTGCTGCCTGCTCTCTGTCCCTGCCAGTAAAACAGCCCATTTTGGACAAGAAGGTGCTCAAGCAGCTGTGCTGCTCTCTCATCCCCAGTGACAAATGCAGCTATGCATGTCCAATTTGAGAGAGGGGACAAGGACAAGTGTTTGACCCCCCTGCTGGCTCAGAAGGTCCTGTTGCTGCAGCACCCTCAGCAGGGACACACAGTCAGGATTATCCCAGCTTTGACACTGAAACTATTTGAAATACAGAACCCATGCCAGACAAGGAAGGATGGGAGATGCTCTGCTCCTGGAAATTGCCTTGAAGTGCACCAGGGAGGACCCACCTGCTCAGCTGGAGATGCTCCCTGTAACTGTGGGTCAGTGGCACAGCTCAGGGGGATCCCCTGGGCCATCAGCCTGTGCAGTAATGCTTTGGTTTCTGGAGGCACCAATGGGGATGTCAGCCTGGCAGAAACCCCAAACTGTGTGACATCTGTGCTTGGGGGAAGCTGTGCTTGGTATGCCATGCCATGCCTGGGATTTGTGTCCCCCATCCCGCACATCCTTTCCCAGGAGCTCCAGGACTGGAGAATCTGCTGCACATCCCATGGTGCTGCCAGGACCTCCAGGTCACCCCACAGCAAAGCAAGGCCGTGCCACACACTCCAAATGCCATCATCTGCTCCTTCCATGGGGGGACACCCCGGGCAGTGGCACATCCCTGTGGCACAGGGGACATGCGATCCCTGCTGTGGCCTGGAACTGGAGGGGACAGGGACAGCCCTGCCCGCAGCCAGACCCGCAGGATGAGGCGTCCCTGGTGTCGCAGGGAGCTCCAATGCCCAGGACAATGCAGTGCCCTGGGGGTGAGGAGGAGCCGCCCCCAGCATCTCCCACCCTCTGCACAGCCCCAGTCCCGCCCAGGACACCAAACCCCGGCGATTTTCCCCTCTCCTGCAAACAAAAGACTCACCGCAGCCATCCTTTGCTCCAGAACGAGCTGCTGAGGACAGGGAGCACCAAGAATGCCCCCTGAGGCTGTCCCCTTAAATCCCTTCTGGGAGCACCCTGGCCCTCCCCCTGCTGACCACCGCTCCGGCCTGCACAATGGGAAATCTATGCAGAAATATTTTTCCCACAACGCCTTCCAAATCATACACACAGCCTGCAATGCTAATAGGCTCAGAGGTATTATTGAAGGGGTTTAATTCACTTTTCCAAGCTCCCTGGGCAGGTGAAAAGGGGAATTCTTTCCCTCTGTCCCTGCTCCTTGCACCAGGACCCACATCTCAGTCTGTGGAGCTGTTTTGGAGGAAATTCAGGCAGAGAGGAGCAGTAACAAGGCTGGGCTGGGGTTTAGGGATATGTACACCTACAGCTATGACTGACCCCAGCTGCCCCTGGGGAACACAGAAGGATGTGAAATGGACTGCAGCAGCAAGGCACAGGAGCACAGACCCAGATCCATGGGATGTCTGCAGCAGAATGTCCAGCTGAAACTCCCCAGAGCAAAATCCTGAGGCTGCTTGCACTTCCCTGGGATCTGGGCATTCCTGGGGTGCAGCTCACAGGGGCTGAGCAGAGGAGGGCAAGCAGGACAGGGGTAAATCCAGGGCTGGGCCTAAATGAGGGCACAGGGCTGTGTGGGTGGGGGTCCCAGGTGAGGGTCCCTGGGGCCAGAAGGGCACATGAGTGTCCTTGGGCACCAGCACAGCTGCTCTGCACAGCTGCACCAGGCAAGGAGAGGCTATGGAGGAGGTGATGGGGTGACCTGGTTGGTCATCAGCATCCTGGGAGAAGAGGACCAAGTCTGGGCTCTGAGGAGAGGTTGGGAAAAGTCTTTTCATGTGATTTTGGTTTGATTTTATTATAGATAGTGCTCAGGTTGAGTCTGCTTACAGTATTTTGAGACAAAAACCTCTCAGGCTGTGGCTCAGCCCATTCTCTGGCTTTCAGCTTGCAAGGAGCAGAGGAAGGGAGCGGGAGCTGTGGAGGAGCAAAGCAAGAAAGGATCCAGAGCATCCAAAGCATAGAGGTACACTCTGTCCTGGCTCTATGGGGCAGCCCTGTATCCAGAGACCCTGTGAGCACCTCTGGGGCAGGGTGGCTCAGCACACGAGCCAGGGAGAGCAGGGCTGTTGTCTCACATTGCAGCACAGCCTGAACAAAGCTGTGCTTGTCTCCCACGCCATCTCACATGAGCGAGGTCTCCAGATACCAGTGCCAGCCCAGGGGAACATTGCTCTGAGGGGAAAACAGGGCAGGAAGGAGCAGCCAGTGCTGGGAGGCCATGAGGGTCTCACCCTGCCAGGGGAGCACAGTCCTGTGGCTGCATGCCAGCCATCCTGGGGGCTGTGCTGCCCCACACAGGCAGGGCTGAGCAGCTCAGCTGCCTTGAGAGACGCCCAGGCCAGTGGGTACCACCAGGGCTGGGATGCCTGGAAGGTTACACACCAGCAGCCTTCAGCATTTCCAGGAGTCCCTTGGGGTTTTCTGCTCTGGCTGGTGTCACACAGCACCGCCTGTGGCTCCTGGGACGCCCCGCCAGCTCCTCCAGCCCTGCCACTAGCTGGGTGGTGGCAAAGAAGGTTAAACGTGGGTGAGGCGGGGAAGGAAACGGCCTCAGGGCAGTGCAGGCAGCGGTACAGCCTGCCAGGAGCATCCTGGAGAGCCTCAGGCTGCATCTCATCCCTGTCTGCAGCACGGGAAGAGAAGACTGGGGGCAAAACCAGCTCATCATTCCAGCCCGCGTCCTGCCCTGTGGGTGCTCATTGCAGAGCCTTGGTCAGCACCTCCCTCCTGAAGCGGGTCCTGGGGGACCAAGGTCAGGCCGTTTGTCCCTACTCAGACTCCTGCAGAGGGTCAGGGACGGACATTTCCCAGCCGTGAGCAGGGAAGGGTGATTTGGGATGATTTGGGGTGATTTGGTGCGGGAGGAGCTGGCTGGCTGGCGGCAGGGCCGGGAGGCACTGGGGTACCCTGCGCCTGGCAGGAAACCACAGCTGGGGGACAGGAGGGTGACATTTCCTTGCGCTGAAATGCAATCACCGGCATTGCCTGGCAGTGTGCGTGTGGCACGGAGCCACCGCTGCTGGCACAGCGCCCCGCACACACCAGCGGGGCTCT